TCAGGTAGAGAATAAAATGAGAGACCAAGAGACATCTGGCCTCAGAGCGGGAAGAGACCCAGATGTTGTCAAGGCAGGAAGCCTCGGGACCTGCAAGGAAGGAAAGGTGCAGGTGGTCTTTGGTGAGGAGATGCCTAGCTCAAAGTGCCAACACTTCAGGAACTTCTCCTACGAGGAGGCTGATGGTCCTCGAAAGGCCTGCACCCAACTCTACTTTCTTTGCCGTCAGTGGCTCAAGCCGGAGCAGCATACCACGGCTCAGATCCTGGACCTGGTGATTTTGGAGCAGCTCCTGACCATCCTCCCCCTGGAGATGTCGTGCTGGGTGAGAGAATGTGGAGCCGAGACCACTTCGCAGGCGGTGGCCCTGGCAGAAGCTTTCCTGAGTCTGAGTCATGCAGAAAACCAAAATCAGGAAGAGGTGAGAGCAAATAACGCTGGGGGATTTCAGAGTCTGACATGGGCAGTCCACAGCCGTTGTTGCTCTGCTTTCAGGTTTGTTTCCTGGCAGTAGCTACCATCATCCCATGCGGTCCTTGAAAGGAAGAGGTGTTGTCCACATGCATCATGTTTTGAGACAGAATCTCCATCCCCAACATGTGAAGATGCCCTACCAGTTTCAAACAGGGTGCATCTCCATGTGCCTAGTTTTCTAATGAAATTTCAAAGTTTTATCTGCCATAAGCACAACACCCAATTCAGCACTATATCAGGTGTGGTGGAAGAGTTCAGTGTCTTTTGCTGAGTTGAGGCCACAAGGATATCCATGGCTGTTTTAAGGGGTCAAGGAAATGTGCAAGTCCTTGAAATTCTCCCAATCACCCATGTTTCCTCTTGAGAAAATCTGGGGATCTGTTTTCTGCTATGTGTTAAGTCCTGGCCTCATCCACTGACATCAATGCTTCTTTTTTTCTTTTTTCTGTCTTCTTGTACCTTGTCATGGATCTTCAGGTAAGAAATCTCTCAGTAGAAGATCAGTCTGATTTCTATGCAGCAGAGAAATCTCCACTCAGCGCCAGACAGAGCCCCGAGCATCAAGAGACCCATCAGGGCAATGAGGGAGGTGCTCCCTTGATAGGTAAGGATTAATGCTTAGAGGTCGTGTGGTTTTCCTTGTGTAAAAGAAGAGGGCCAGTGTATTCTTTTTTATTTGCCCTTTTTGGGTTGGGTGCATACTCTTTTTTATGTACTTCATCCTGCCACGGTGGCCAATCTCTCAAACCTGGGCAAGTATACCTCCGGATCATCCTCTGGTCCCATCTTCTGCATGCGAATGGGAG